TCATGTCCATAAAATTTGACGAAGTACTACTTCAGATATCTTCAGCATCACTCTGTTTTGAAATTACAAATAAATACAAAGATTCTCATGGCTGTACAATTTTAATATAGTGCACTAAGATCGTAAGAAATGTATGCAGGATCTCTGAAAATTTCATTAATGAATATTTGTTAATTTTGTATCAGTTTTCTCACAATAAGAATAATTCTAAGAGGTTACTTTGTTACTCAGCTGTTTGTAAAATAAAAGTTTGAAGTTCATATACATAAAATGGCATATCATTTAAATAAATGTTGAAAAAACCCTTTTCAAATATTTTTTCTGTAACTAATTTGGAATCATGCGTTTGCTCTACAAAATTTTTAAGAGAGTATAAGAGATACTAATAAGAATTTCAAAAGATCAAATAATTAAATATAAGTACCAAAAGTATTATTTAATTATAAAGTTTTACAAACGTGAAAAATATATATAATCAGTAAATATCACAATTTTCATTTTACTGTGTGTGCACTTGATATTCCAACTAGGTCTCTTTTTTCATATGTTTTCATTGCGTGCAAGTCAATAACATTCACATTTTCAAAGTTATATCAAAGTTATATGTGTATGCGTGTGATGTATGCATAAATATTCCTTAAAATTAAATTTTTAATAAGGTGAAATTAATATTTTGTTTTCAAAAATTGAATTTTAGACCTATTTTCTCTCTATTTTATTCATCTCTTTAAGTTGCTTATTTTTCTATTAACTTTTCCCATTAAATTGATTACTTTTGGTTAAAAGTTTTTTATTTTCGTTTATTTTTATTTCCATCCTTGCATATATGCTACAGGTTGTAATTTTTAATATACACTCTGTCACAAAAGATATATACATCCAGAAGAAATTCAGCTACTATCACGAAATTTGGCAGGAATGCAGTCTAGTAAGAGATATGCAAATGATTAAAACTTTGACGGCAATGATACAAGATTAAGCGCACTACGCGCATATGAGATGCTCTACTGGAAGAGTTGAAAAGCAGGATTGCTTGTACCGTAGAGTTAGTTATTCAAACAAATCAGTCGACTTGGATGGATGGTCTTGTTATTCGAGATGCCTCTGAGACGTAAAAGGCAACAGTACGAACGATTACAGGAATTTAGAGGTGGCTTAGTAGGACGTAGTATAGTAGACATCAGAGAAAAATGTTAGTCGAACAAACATATCGGCCGTCACTTCGGCTGAAGCCATATGATAGTTGCTCCGTTTTGCTACAATGAATCACTTAAGGAATAGTCTACCATAGCGGAGTGCCAGGGAGTCCCAGAAACACAAATGCGTGTGATGATCGTGCAGTTATAAGAGTTGCTACATCGATGCCATTTACAACTTTCCAGACATCTGATGGTATCAAGAGAAACCATTCATAAACGACTAGTTATAAGGAGCCGAAGACCATTAAAACGCTTATTACTGAACTCACATCATAGGCAGTGTCGATTGGACTTTTACCGACCTCGGGCTGCTGGAAAGCGACGAATGGAGGAGTGTGTGATCTTCAGCGATGAATCTCGATTCACACTAAATGTTGATGACCAACGTATAGGCATGTGGAGGCGGCCAGGTCACCGGTACGATCCAACATTTTATGTCTAAAGGCTACCGGCGATTGCATAAGGTGTGACAGTGGGAGGAGTGATTTTTTGGGGTACACGATTACCTCTAGTCGTCCTTCAGAGCACTTTGACAGCATTAAGTTACATGGACGAGATTTTAACGCCAGTTGTATTGCCTGTGCTATCAAGTACCCCAGGTGTCATTTATCAGGAAGACAATTTTCTTCCACATACTGCGTGACTACAATATCCCAACAATGTCTCCAAAATTATGACATACCCATATGGCTGCCAGTTCACAAGACCTCTATCAATAGAGCACGTCTGAGGCGTGATGAAAAAAACTACAATTAACCCAGATTACTGGTGAATTAACTGCCCAGTTGCAGATATTATGTCGTGATCTTCCGCTGGAGGTCTTAGGTGACCTAACTAATTCGACACCGCGTTGTGTTTCGCTTGTATAGCTGTCAGAGGTGGATTTAATATCCACTCATTGAAAACATTTTTCATGCCATATCTTCTTAATAAAGCAGTCTACTTTTCTATATTTAGAACCATTTATACTTTCTCCTAATATATTATATACATGGGAAGTTTCATGATAGTAGCACGTTTACTTCTGGGTGGATATATTTTTTTGTGAAATAGTGTATTTTATATTATTTTCCTCTCGATTTTAAATTATTTCCTTGACCTTTTCTTTCCATTTTTATTTTATATGGTTTTTTTTAAATAACCGTACTGGTTTTTAAGGATTTATTATTTTTTCCTTCGTGGGGAACTGTTCTGAAGTGGAGGAAAATTTTAATTATTGACACGTTGTTGTGATCTCTTATTATCTTCTTAAAAATTTACTATTTTATTTAGATAATTAATTTTCTGGCCTTTGTATGTAAATTATTTTTTACTCTGTACTTGGCATTGGTAAATAATAATTTTGTATACAAATAATTATGTAACTATTTATTGTGTAAGTTTATTGTGTTTATAATCTTTACTATTTATAGAACCTTATTCTTGCACTATTTTGTCTTTCTTCCTGTTTAATGGTATATGGTCATTGTGGGGAAGATTGGCTGGCTTTTAAATAATGTTTAGTTTTCAATAGTAGTTCATAAGGCTAAAAGTTTGTTATTATACAAATGTGACTGTCTTATTTTGACTTTTGACTTATACTGTCATGTTACATTTTTCCATCGCATTTGTTGCATTTCTTTTTTTTCTTTTTATTAGATTTAATTCAATTTGGTACGTAACTATATATTATATGTATATTTACATAAACACATATATAAACTTCCTTTGAACAAAAATCAAAATAGTTTTAGGACAAGAAGAATATTACTTGCATTTTTATATACATGGAATAAAGAATTATTTTATTTCAACCTTATAAGTCGCGTTATCCATCTACACTTACCACGACATCTAACTTTCGAAATAAATTTTTGCACACATTTTCTATCTAGAAATTTTAAGAATGTTTCTTTACTTTAGCTCAATAAACATAGTTATCGAGCCCCGCCTACCACGAAGTCTGATTTTTTCGATGGATAGTGTGAAAATAAAATATATCAGAAACCTCTTCTTAAAATTTCTACAAGTACTTTAAGCCGAAACTAGACTCTTCCATGATTTGTAGCTTCCCATAACACTTCCGCACACGCGTTTCATTCCCCGAAATTTTTTCATCAATCCATCCGACTCCCACGAACGTATTGTGTACTCAGCACATCATATTAAAGATAAATGGCTGCCATTTATTATGTACATATTGTTTGGACCCCACTTTCTTCACACTATATATATCCCCCTTTTTTATTTTTTAAAGAACTGGACTTAAAGTTATTTATTATACTTAGCATCAACTTCCAAAAAATACAAAAAGAAAGAGTGTATCAAAATTTTACAGTACTGTCGTAATGCATATATGCCAGATTAAAGTCTAGGACCTCTGCATATGTGGGCATCTGCGCCGAAATAAATAAGTAGAAGGTTTAAAAAATGGTGGAAAGGGTAGGTATTGGTGGAAAATTTTCTTTGTGAACCCGGAACTGAAAAGAGTCCACTAAATTACTTCGGAAAGTTTCCTCTTTTATATCTTTTTCCATCTTTTATGCCTTTTATTAATAAAAGTCTGGAAGCATTTTCGGAAGGAGGATAAAAAGTGAAAATGTATGAGGGCTTATCATTTTTATGAAAGGTCTCAATTCGTTCCTTTTTTTCTTCTCGGCTTTCATTCTCTCCTTTCTTCGGAGTATTATCCTTTTGAACCTTTTTCGGATAATTATGTGTACGTACTTTTGACAATTTTAATGATTATTCATCGTCTCTTTTGACATTTTGAATAGCATTTGTAATGACTGGTTAAAGCTTGGATTAAAGTTCCATAATTTTGGGCATGAATTTTAAATCTTTGGCCATCTTTGTTCTTTGTTGAAAACGATAAAAGAATCTGAATAAATTTCTTATTCCTTTTCCTGTTTCTTGTTTCTTATTCCTTTTTCTGTTATGAATATATAACTTTCTATTCAAGATACAATTAATTCTGAATTAGTGTTCCATATTACTTGTATCGAAATGTGTTCTGAATTTCTAAGTATGTTTAATGTATAACATTTGATTTCAAATACTAATTGTACTTTACGAACCCATATAACATCTAAAAAGTGTGAGTAAAAAAGTATCCACATAACATCTAAAAGTGTGAGTATGGTAAATGAGGATGATGTTTAAATTACACATTTCTAATTCAAAAGCGGAAAAGGGATTCATTAAAATATATAAAAGCATTTAAGAATTTGTTATTGTCAGATTTAGAAAGAAAATTTTCTATAAGTTCTTAAATAAAGAATATTCATTTAATACACATGCCAGAATAATCGACCATTTAGATCAGTAGGTAGGAATTCCTTGTACGAATAAGGTAATCGAGATATAAATTCATTCGCAACAACCACACCAACCCACACCACCATCACAATGATAGAGGGTAGTAGCGGAAGCACGGCTGAACATTTCTTCAATTCCAAGTTGATCTGCTGCTGTACTTTGTGGAACAAAGAAATATTTGCATGATATGAAAAACTCATTAACACATATGTATTATATATATATATCTTATACAGATATTGATATTGATTTTTTTTTCTTTTTTCAGATTTTTTGCCCAAATTAAACTACGAGAGGTGATCAAAAGAAGAAGGGAAAAAAAGGTTACAAGTCGAATAAATAAATATTTTTAAAAATATAGACAGAAAATATGAAAGACAATTAAAAGGTATGCGTGCTTATCACTTTTCGACATAATCACCAAGTCTGTTTAGGCATTTCTCAGAACGCAGAATGAACTATGTAACCCGTCTTAGTAGATAACAGGTCCCAACACATTGAGAGTCTGGCATGGTCTAGTGGTTAGGATACCTGGCTCAAACAGGAAGACCGGGTTCAATTCCCGGTGCGGAAGAGTTTTTTCCCTCAGGGGGCTCACCTTCTTTAGGTGGGTACGGCTGCCACCATTCCGAGGTACCCTTAAATGATCTTTTTCCTTTTCTGGGTTACTATCTTTGTGGTAAACACGGGTGTCCGACCCGGACCCAAACAGTGATCCTTTCTATTTTCGACCCTCTATCTTGTCATCCAATCTTCTTTCTTCTTCCCATCCATGATCACAGACTTAGAGATGTTTTCGCACAGTATGGACAAAACTGGTTTGCGCCATAAAACTATCAAACTCAACCCAACACATTGACCCTGATCTTCGGCGATATTTCTTACACTGGCTGAAGAGAAACGTCTGCCGGATAAGTTTTCTTCAACCTCGGAAACAGGAAAATAGTCACTGGGTGCCAAATCTGGGCTGTGTGGGAAGTGACTGTCATAGAAGAGAATGACCGTACCATATTGCTGTTTTCAAAATCATGTCTGCCTGATTGAAAGAAACACCATTTCTTTACATGTTGCCTGCTGATTGATTCTTTACCATAAACTTCTCCGATTTTACTATGAGTTTCAAATGCAACACATTCTTTGTCCATAAAATTCGAATCCCGGCTCTCACTTTCAAACGAGACCAATTTTCTAGGTGTCTTCCAATTCAAACGTCCTGAACCGTCTGGGAACTTACACTACCTACACTTACAACAGCTGTATGACAAGTAGAGCCATTTATCTCCACAATGGGGAAACAAAATTTTTCCGCAATATGTAGTTTTCAAATGCTGCGGCTTTTTTTTCTGATCATCCCTCGTATTTTAGAATAGAGAACACTTAAATATGAACATTTTACATTAAATAAGATTGATAAATTGATTTTTAATTATAAATTGGAAATAAAAAAATAAATTTTCCAGTTGCTTGCTTAATTAATTCTTTTTTTTCAATGCAAGATTAAAAGTTTAATTGATGTATAGTTTTACTTTTTGAAATCAGTCAAAAAATGTGTTGTATTATACCATAAACCTTAGTTTCCCATTAAACTTAATAATATTTCAAATTATTTAAGTTTTAATGTTTGAACAAAAATTAAATACTATAAAATACATGGTATTTTAAACTATTAAATTTATTTATTGGCTTAAGTTGTGGCTCTTCCTTATAGTTTAATTTAAAAGTATTTACATTCTTTTAGGGTGTGATCCCATAGTTTAGAAAAACAAAATGTTTGTGGTATCGGCTTAAAAACTGAACTTTAAACTCCAATTTTATATATTTTATAATATTATGCAATGAAACAAATTTTAAAAGCACTCTAAAGAAATTACTTCAAAATAAGCAATTTTAATAACAAAAACATAGAATGCATTAAAAAATGAAAATAAAACAACAGGAATTATTTCACATGTATTGTTCAACACATAAGTAGCCAATATTACGAAAAATTTACAATACCAGAAAATATGCAAATTCAAATGAATATATTTCTTAAATGCGATACTTTTGAAAGGAATATACAAAAAATATTTATCTATTAGTATTCAACTTTATTTAAAATCTTATTTATTTTAATATGATTTGGATGCGTACTTTTTAAATACCAAGAATATTGTTATCTTTCGACACATGAATGTTCTCTTCAAATTTTACTTTATGCGGAATAAGCTTTTATTTTCTTTATTAGATTCGTTTTTAATGTAATTATTTATTTGGCAGTGTCAATATTACCATAAGCATAAACAAACTTTTAAAGGGGGATCTATATAATAAAACAAAGTTATAATGTTTTTCAAAATAGTTAGATGCATTTATGATTTCGGAGCCAGCTTTAACAACAAACACTTATTTTAAATATGTAGCACAAAAGATTTCTGATATCAAGGAAACAAAATTATATTTATAACACAAAAATGTTGGAAGGTACTGAGAATAGCTTATTCTATTATCTTTTTAAAATTATCAGTTGCTTTCCAATACTGTTGTGTTCCAAAAGTTAAAATACATTTTTTAAATATAATATCTACTGAAGGAAGGTATTGCAGTTAAACAAAATATGTAAAATATCGGAAATAAAATTTAGTCTTATTTGCAGTAAAAGTACATAATGAAGATGCTTTTAGATTTTTTTATTCATCCTTTCAGAAAATTTTTCTTTTAAGACTTAATTAGACATTAATTTTCATAATTATGTTTGGTCAGTACGATGCTACAAGGTAAACAAAAAAGTTATTGCCGTTTGCGCGTTTCCATTGAAAGAAGTGAGAATAAGTATGAAAATTCGTGCATGACATGATTGAGAAACCATCAGTCGAGAGTAGGAATATCAGTTGTTATAAACGCAGGTCCACTGCTCACATTCATCAATCGGAAGTCGTACAGTAGCGAAGCGAAATGGACGTATCGAAGGAGCTCGTTCGGGGTTGTTTACTTTACGACTTAAAAGTGGGCTTATCAGCCGCTGCATCAAGTCACCGAATATGTCAAGCGTTTGGGGATAGGGCTGTCAATGAAAATATGGCAAGGCATTGGTTTCAAAAATTCAGGTCAGGAGATTTGTCCCTTTGTGATAAAGCTCGAACAGGACGACACAGGCTTTGGATGACGAAGCCCTGCAGGCGGCCATTGAGGAGGACAGTAGTCAAACGTGTGGTGAACTTGCCAGACAATTCAACACTTCCAGTGAAATGGTTAGGACTTCATCTGCATCGCTTAGGTAAGACGTACAGGCTGAGAATATGTTCATCACACGCTGTTGAAAGTCCATAAGCAGCAACAACGAGTGGCAGCCTGTTTATCGTTGCTTTCTCGCCACCGTAGCGCTTCCATATTCAATCGGGCGCTAACCAGTGACGAGAAGTGTCTCCTATATGACACACCGAAGCATTCCAAGAACTTTTTTGTTCACCTCGTAAAAAGCAACATATCTAAATTATTATAAATATAACACTTTTAATGGTATATTTTCACATCAAAAGTAAATATATTACTATTAAAACAAAACAACTACATTCATTACAAACAAAATTAGATATACTTTAATTTATATTACAATTTTAAATTTTTAACATAAATACAATCATAAATTATAGTATCACGAGGTAATCATTTTAAAAATATAGAATCCTATGAATAAGAATCATATTTATACAGCTAAATTAGATTTCTGAAAAATGAGAGCATATTTCTTATAAATAAAGAATTCCATTTCAAGAGAAATTCAGTCTAACCCACGAATAAAGAATAGAAAAAAGATAGGACATATCAAATATAAAACTAGTCGAAATCTTTTTTTCAAAGATTTAACTGAAGTTCAATTGTTACGCAACGACTCTTCAACGTAAGTTATTTTTGCAAACAAATCCCTGAGTTTTGTTATTTTCCTAAAGAGAAGATATATGATCTGAGTCTCCAGAGGATAAGCGAAGTCAGGCCCATGATTTCATATTTCAACTCTTTTGTGCCAATACTGCGCATTTTTCCGTCTGAGTCAATTTCATAAATATGTAGTAGTGCAGGGTATATTTTTGAGAAATGCAATAAATTTTAAAATATTTATAATTTATAATTCATAATACTTTGGGAATTTGATTTATTATTCATTTTCAAAATTTTATCCACTACTCATTTAAACGAAAGGTTAAATAAGGATTCATTCATTCAGAAGCCATCTGACAGTTAAAAGAAATCAACTATGAGCTCTATATGAAAAATAATATATTTGTATTATTTTTAAGAAGATTTAATGTCTCCCATTTATTATGTTTACTTATATATTTTAGTAGTACTTAGAATGATAATTCTAACTAACATAACTTATTTCAATCCATTTAAAATTTAAATAAAGAATATAGCTAAAAAGAAAAGTAAAGCGTTCCTTTTTTAATGCAATTATTGTGTTTTGTGTAGCCCTTAGAATGTGCAAATCAACATTTATAATAGAATCAATAAAACTTATATAGCTGTAATTTCAGGTGAGTATAACAAGAATATTTGATACAATTACGTTAATTCTGATATTGTTGATTTAACACATCGAATGTAGAAAAATGTATAATTATAAATTTATTAGGTTTTTGTCTTTAATTAAAAAAAAGTCCTATATTAAAAATAGATCAATATTTTTTTACTATGCATTTCTGTTAATAAAAATAAGCCTCGTTAAATATTTTGAGTTTGAAAAATCAAAATAGCTTTAAATTTTTCATGAGTTAAGGCATTTTTATCTTATTTTGAATATTTTCTATATGAAAATTTGACGAGTTTTGTGTGTGTGCTTGTGTTAAGATTTGTTTTCAATTTAAAACAAAAGAAACTCTCTTGAAATTTTAATACATAACTTCCTTAACTATAAACCGCTTCTTTTAAGGAAATGAAAATTGAAAATTTTGAGCAAAATAATATCATTAAATAGAATCTACATTAATAAAAGTATTTAATATTAGTTTTATTATTATTATTATTATAGATTGTAGGTTATCTAGACTTTTTTTAACAAGAACAAAACTCCACATCAGAATATCATTGGAATGACATACTTAGTTCTGAATTTTTTGCTTACTGCATTATTCTCTGTATGAATAAAAGTCAATGTAAAAATCTTTAATTTCCAATACTTTTCTCATTTGATGAATTATCAAAAGTATGGATATATATTGTGTTTACATTTGAGATAACTTTATTACACATTAAAAAAAACCCTCTATAAACGTATTAGTAATTTTGGGGCAAAGATTTCGTAATAGAAATTGACATTAAAATTTATGTTGCTTGTGTGATGTTTTTTATTAGTGTTAGCAAGACCTTGGACTTTAATAATATAATTTAATATTTTTTGCTTCGAAGATATTGTACGCTAGCTCTCATCATTTTAACCGTACTTAAAGAAAAACGGGCTTTTGAAATTTGTACTATTTTTCCAAATTTTGTTAAAAAAATATTCGTTTTACTTTTCTCTGATTGATTTTATTTTATTTCAAGAATATTTTCTGTTTTATTTATTGTTATATATATTTTTTATTTTTATATATTAT